CACCCATACATCAGCTCATCAAATTACCGAAAACATAACAAAAAACAAAAAGGAATTCAACGAAAAAGGAATATTATCACATGATACAATGAGAACAAATAATACTTGAAATCCATGGGCAGATAGAGGAAATCGAAAGCCAACAGCGAATCCTCCTCTGCGCCTGCGGGTCTCTTTAATTTCTCATTCTCCTTCATGCAATGCTCGTCAAGAAAACTCATCAACATCTGCCGACTGTCAAACTCGAAAACGATAAAGAATTATGGAGAGCAACTTTGACAAGATAGAGAGGTTGGTTACTGTGAAAAACCCAAAATGGCTAAACGGTAAAAGTTGAAAAAAATAAAACCCATTTTCTCCCAAATTTCCCCTAGTTTAATTTCCAAACGGGACCTGATGCATGCAAACATTTTTGTGAAATCTAAAAACGATTCAATCGTAAAACCCTAATGGGGGGGGGAGAGAGAGAGAGCAAAACATTGGAATACCTGTATTTGCTGGGAATGTTCCTTATCATGAGAGTGGATTTTGCTCCTTCACCTTCCACAGGTTGAGGATGGATGACCACATCAGACCTTGAGTTAGGGCTAGCCGATGTGCGATCTTCACTCACCGACTCCGACTTGGGTATCCAGGTCTGTTTAACTTTGGCTTGCCTCTGATGAGCTCGAATTCGCTGTTGTCTGGTTCCTCCATCCGGAAACCTACAATTTTGGACCACCCTTCGGGCGAGTCTAGGAGGAACAGTTGCACCATGTATGTAATCGGAGACCACAGCTTGTTCCGGCGCTGTAGACGGCCCGGCGCTCGTTGAAGAGTTGTAGAAGAAACTTCCGTCGACGCAGTGAACATACGATTGAGGTGGGGCACCGGAAGGGAGAGGAAAGGTTGGCATTGCAGGTAAAGAAGTAAAGTAATGGTGGTGAAGAGGAGAGAGGAAGTAGGGTGTTGAATATGGAGTTTGTCGGTAGAGGGAACAAGAAGGAATGATAGCGAAAGAGATGTTGGGAATCACAGAATTCTTAGAAACGAACTCTGGTGCCTCAGGATTTAGAGGAGCCATTCTGGGTTTGTCCCAGTGTAAAGTGTTGACAGTTAACTGAAGCTTCGTAAATGCAAATTCAAATTGCAAATTGCAGAGAGAGAGAGAGAGAGAGAGAGTACGGAGCAGATGAAATCTTTGAAGGAAACCAAAATTGAAAACGTGAAAGAGTTCTGTTTGCCTCATTCGTTTTCATAAGCCTTTTCTAGTACGGAGTACATAAAATTTTGAAGGAAACGTGAAAGAAGGGGATTTTTCTTTCTTTTGAATTTTTGCTGGAAAGCGTTAAAAATCAGGTTTGTGAAGTAATCATTTATGCTTAAAATCTAAAATCACCTCAATAATAACCTGATCTTTTGTTTACTTTTTCGGGTTAGAATAATAAACTGATATTATTCTTATCTTTCTTTATTTATTTATTAATTTTATTTTAAATTTTTTCTTGGAAGGAAATAAATGCGGCAAAACAGAAGAACACTTTAACAGAGGACACAGAGTACAGAGACTGACGTGAGAAGAAAAGGAAAGGGAAAAGAAAAGAGCAGATATCTCATGATTAGAGAGAGAACGAGAAACATCAGCCCACATTTAATGCACGAGATCATCTGGGCGCAACAAAATCCAATACGTGAGATTGTGGATCTCTGAAGAATGTTCTCATCGCCCAGTTGGATTGTATTGTTGTAATGTATTTGACTCCGCTTTTGGTTTCAGTAATAGAGTAACAAAGACGATCTCTTTCTACCATTGTCCCATTTGTCCGAAATAATGCAACCTGAAAACAATCAAATTACTTTCTTATTCATTTTGATTATAGAAAAAGAAGATTATATTAACGTGGGCTGGCCAAATTCTTCGTCCACGTTGAATATTTAAACCGCTCTATTTGGGAAGAGTGCAAATTTTTCATGTAGAGTGCATTTTGGTGATTGGTATTTGGATATGTAAAATTGTTTTAGGGCTCATTTGGCGTGTTATTTGGAAGATCTTCCTCTAATTCTGATATATAAAAGACGTATTGAGCTTTTGCACGAAGATTTTGAACAACCTGAAGCATGTTTAATAAATACATGTTTTTTTACGTGAGATTAAAATGCAAAAGATGCGAAGCATGTTTAGTAAATATATGTCTTTTCACGTGAGATTAAAACGCAAAAGATGCGAGAAACTTTATTTGGAGCTTCCTCAAATAAGCCCAAAATAAGCCGTCTTCTCAGCATTTTATCTTTTGACAGAAACAAAAATAGACTGATTTTCAATCTTTTGGGCTTGTAAACAGTAATGCAAAATGACGTGCCAAAACGCAGCCTTAATAAAAAAAATTGATTTAATTTTGCATGCCTTAAAATTGACCTCGATCTCAGTTCTTTTTTTTGCTTTTTTTTTTCAGTTAGTAATGGATAAACTTGATCTCCATTTCATTTAAGCACAAACATTCCTTAAAATTTGTAAAATCTGTCAATTTCAGTGCATGCATTATAACCAAAGAATATAACTAGTTGAATGCATAGCATTAAATTTGCACTATGCAAAATCATGACACTGCAAATGATTCGAGTTTAAATTTTGACCCATTTTTATTTTAAACTTCAACTTAATTTGTTTGATCGTAGTACAAATAAAATAAATTAAGACATAAAACAGAATAAAGAAATATCCAAAGCAAAATTAAAGGAGAATTTACATTTTATTAAATTTACACTCACGTGCATTTGTACTGGTACAAATAAACTTGCACTGCAATCAAACACAGCCTTTTATTTGTACTATTTTGTATGTATTTACACTATATATTTATATTTACACTCTTCAGAAGGCATCCATATTGGAGAAGCAAATACTATGAAATACCTGCCACTTTACTCTTTTTTTTTGTACTTTTATAATTCATACAGGAACACTGAACTATTAAGCTTAGTTTGGCAACAATACAAAACAAATATTTGCAGACGACAGTATAAAACCTTAATCTTGTAGGTGACATTTCTGAGCCTTACATTTTCACCTTGTATTATTTGTATTTACAGTCCTCGCAGACTAAGCCTATGTACTAATTTACCCAACAGATTATATCATACTTCAGCAGCTTTAATTAATTAACATAATTAAGAAAATGCTTTAAGCCCTTTTTGTTGCCACGTGGAAACCACCTCATCATTCTCCTCTTTTAGCCCACCAGGCCCATTTGCCTTGATCCCATGTACATCTTTCATTCTTTTTTATTTTTGCAAAATCAAAATACAAAATAAACGAGTTACCATATGTAGAGTGGAAATTCATTCAAATAATAGATCACGATCTTCTTTTTCTTTTTTTTATTTAATTGAAAAATCAAAATACAAAATGAGTTCCAATATGTGGAGTGGAGGTTCATTCAAATAATAGATCACGGTCATCTTTCTTATCTTTACTAATTTACGAGGTGATAGAGGTGATCATGGGCCGGGCTTTACTCTTATGACAAGGCCTATAGGTTAGGCCCGGGCTCAATCCAGGGTTCTGGATCTGAAACATGAACCCTAACCCAGCTCTACAAGGGGCCAGGACAGGCTTTATACTTATGATAAGGGCTATAGCTTAAACCTGGGGCCCAGCCCAGGGTTCTGGGCCTGAAACAAAAACCCTAACTCAAGTCTATACGGGCCTGGGCCGAACCAAGCCTGATTCCAAACTAATATTACTTATATATAAAATATTACATATCAATATATTCAATACCATGACATGGGCTGGGCCAGGCCTAAACACAAAACGCAAGCCCAAGCCCGGGCCGGACTGAAATGATCACCCCTACAAATGAATCCGGACGGACCACTACGACATTGGATTCCGTAATGAATTTAAATTGGATTGAGACAACGTCTGGTACAGTGATAGAAGATAAGAACACATTTGTCATGGACAAGGTCAGAGTTGAAACAAATCTAAATTAACAGGAATTTGAACAGATTGAGCGGTCCAAACATTAAATTGGACAGGACCAAAATGGTTCAAAAATATTCATTGAACTGGATTGGACCACATCCATTTGTAATGGACTCGCATTGGACTGGATCGGATTGGACCAAATCCAGTCCAATTAACATGAATTTGAGCAGATTGAGCGGTCCAAACATTAAATGGATCGGACCAAAATGGTTCAAAAATATTCATTGAACTGGATTGGACCACATCCATTTGTAATAGACTCGCATTGGACTGGATCGGATTGGACCAAATCCAGTCCAATTAACATGAATTTGAACAGATTGAGCAGTCCAAACGTTAAATTGGACCGGACCAAAATGGTCCAAAAATATTCATTGAACTGGATTGGACCAAATCCAGTCCAATTGACACCGGTGGACCCTGACCTTACCAAAAGAATGAACATCTAACGGACACAGACCCAGAACCAGATATAAAGCAGAGAAGCCCATTTTTATTTTCCATTTCATGAGTCAAAGTATAGGGTACCCTACCAAAAGCAGTGTATTTTTTTAGGGTAGCCTCAAATTTATTTTGCCCTGGGTTCAGTGGACCATCATGGCCCATGCAGATCGCCCATAGAATATAGCATACAAAAAGAACCACAATTCACAAGTGCTGAACACTTCAACCCTCCATTTAGATAGCACCATCTTAACCATCAAATACTACGTAGTTAAAGAGTCTAGCATAGCACAAATGGTAAAAATTAATTACGACCCTACACTAGAGGGTAGACCCTATCACCTGCGCGGAAGCCCCAAGGGCAGCCCAGGTGCCACGGTCAACCCCCTTGTAATTGGCTGACAACACAGTAGAAAGTAGAAACAATCACCTCAACCAAAACCCTTATATTTCTGATCTAATAAAGCGACTTAACTTCAGTGGCCCGTGAGCCCATGCATCTACATAAACTAGTTCTAGTCTCTAAAGATGACGGACGACCGACGATAACCGGAGAGACGAAACGAATATTAATTTACAGACGACCTTAAGAAAAGTGGCCGTTCATCTGTTGTTGGGATGGTTCGATCCGATTGCCAAACGTGCATGACAATACCGAGCACCCCGAGCCGTCGCGAGCAGGGATGAAGCAGACAGGGAGGAATTCCTCCGAGTCGCAAACGAAAGTCGAATTCTTGAAATGCTTTATCAGTGCATCCTTCCCCTGTGAAAAACGCCAATTGATCGAAGGATAAGAGAGAATTCTTGTAGGGATCACCACCTTTTTAAATTCTTCCAACCAAAAAGACTTTACCTGTATCCTTGCGAAAGTAATCTCACAGATTTTCCTGGAACCCAGAATGTCCCACTTGTAGTTATTTATTGACTGTTTCAGAATAGATGCCGCCCTTGCGCTTGTAAAGTTGACGAATGCGTACCCCCTGTTGCACCTACTCCTGCACTCAGTTCAACCAAACAGCGAAAGCATGCATTAACAGAAAAATACAACTAAACGAACGTATAATCCTTTATTTTCAGTATAGAGCATGTTTTAATCTTTATCAAGAATCACGAGGAACTGAGGATGAACGGGACGAATTTCAATAGTAAATAATACCTGAAATCCATGGGTAGATACAGGAAATCGTATGCCAAGGACATACCAGCATCCTCTGCTGCTCTCTCCGAAATTAGCGTCTGCCTCTCTTTTGAGCAACGCTCGTCAAGGAAATCCAACATCTCCTTGCGACTGAAAACCCAAAATGAACAGAAACCCATTTGGAAAATCATCTAAATAATACAGAACCGTGTGAATGAAGCAGAATTTCGTTCTCTAGTTCAAACAAACGAAATCAAAATGATCAAAACTGACAAGTCAGTAGAAATTAAACAAACGGCATCCATTTCATGGAAAATTATGGGAAAGAAAAAATACGAACATCCCTTAATGAATAGTTCTTTCACGCATCTTCTTCTCGATACCACTATAGTATAAAAAAACTAAAGAAAATTAGAAAAGCGAAACCATTCACAGATGGAGAAAGGTAGATTGAAGAACAAGGAAGCACAAACTAGCTAGTCCACCAAACATTGGAGAGACACAGATGGGTTTAAAACGATTACATGAGAGAGAGAGAGAGAGTGAAGATCTACCTCAATTTGTTCGGAATATTCTTAATCATAAGTGTGGTCTCCGTGTCCTCACTTTGTGCAGGGTTTTGCGTCGAGTTGTACTCCAAATTTTGAGCCGGTCGGTCTTCTTCGCTCACCGACTTAGGTCTCCACTCCAGGGTTTTAGTCCCAATTTTCTTAGCTCCTCTCCTCAGGAGACCATGACCCTTAAACCCCTTCCTGACCATAGTTATGATACTTTCCCTGCCTACTTTCTTCGTACTGTCGCCCTGCTCCGTCGTTGCCAAGTAAGTAATATCGCTGATCACCGGTGACGGTGCTGGAATGGTCACCCAGGAGTTATTCAGGTAAAAGAAACAATTATTGCAGTAGACAGAAAGAGAATGAGGAGGACGTCGAAGGGCGTCCATGACCGGAAAAGGACTCGAGTAACTCGGATGGAAAGAAGGGAAGAAGTAGGGCGATTGGGGAGGAGGCTGGTAAAGGGAGTAAGGAAGGATTCTCGGGACATCCATGGAATTTTCTGGGACGAATTCTGGTGCTTCAGGGTTGAGAGAAGTAGCCATGGAATAGAAGCAGAGGGTGAGTTGGGGAGAGTGACAAGAACTGTAAACTTCTAAACTCAACTGCAGCTGCAAGGAAAAGAGAGTCGAGGCTTTTATATTAGGATATAGGATTTCATTACTCACTCTGACATGCACTAAAGGCAGAGAGTGATTGTCAGATCACTCACTCTGTCGAAATATGTCAAGATCCAAAGAAGTCAAGAAGAACCCCGGCACCCATTCATAGTAATTTTCCGTCCGATTGGGATCTAGATCTTGAACACAGTTGTCCATGATTGAAAATTGAAATGGCAGAACCCCATAAACCACCCTATAATTTCCAATCGACCACTTCTGGTATGGCAGGTATCTGACCCCATAAACCATTTCAGACGTGGCTGCCGGGAGAAACCATTACAGAGACAGAGAAGAGAGGGAAGTGAAGTGAAAGGGGAAGGGGCGGATCTCATGATTAGATTTCCAACAAGCAATTAAATGCATGGATACGTGAGAGATTTTGGAGGTATAAGTGGTTGTGGCGCCAGAATGTTTTGCTTCATTTATTAGACAAGCAGTTGGCTCAGGCTCGCTGCGATTGCACTCGCTTTCGTACTACTGATGTGTGGGTTAGTTGAAGTTGAACTCTAGAGTGTTTCCATCGTCCACCCACGAGCAGGCTATCGTCATAACCGTTCAAATACAGTCATGAAGTCACTCAACGGAGAAAGGAGAAGGTGAGAAACCGAGCAAGGGATCATGTGGGCCGAATTCCTTTGCATGGCTTCTGCACCAAGTATTTATGCATGTCATGACGTCTACATGATTTCCAAGGCAAGAGAGGAGAGGAAGATTTTTGTATCTTCTATGCATCATTTGATATATCTTCTTTGAAGCAAGAAAAAACTTGAATTGCACTGTTGAGACCGATCGTCTATCGACCACAGTTGAGAGGGCGAGCAGCCGCGCACTAGAAGCGGAGGTGAGACAAGTATTAAGATGACGGTGAGAATGAGATTGTCTACTGCGTCAGCCTGACTGAAAGACGGAATTTCAGAGGGAGACAGCGAGAGAGAGAGAGTAAAAAGAGGTACAACTATTAGGGCCTATAGGTTGGCTGTGACAGGGCAGGAGGAAGGAATGATTACATTGGATTGATCTCCTTCCTCGTATTTCGCTTCCTCCGCGTTGGGGACTTGGTGCATTGCTAATGGTCGACGTCACAGTTGAGGTGCTTTAAATTTTAGGATCCGTTTGATCCGCATTAACCTGAATCAAATCGATCGGACTTACTGGTTCAAATCAATTATTTTCTTTGAATAAAAACCATTTTATATCAACTTAGGGTTACAACATTCTGTAATATCAATTAAAACATGAAAAGATTGTAGAATATGAGAGTTCTTTAGGGTTTCCATAACCATACCCACATAAAACCAATTAATAACAAACAATAGGCCCATTGTGGGAGACATATATTCTCACACCTTTATTGTCTTGAATCTTCATAGTCATCGTCCGGTTGAGAAATTCCTGTTCCAGGACAGGAATGGAATTTCTGGTTATCGAGGAATAATAAATAGTGTTTGATACTTTGTTCATCACACCAAGTTTTTATTCTAAAATACAGAAATAACGTTTGGATAGCTATTGAATCTTAAGATTCATATACATATAAAGTATTGTTACAAGTCCTCAAACATGAGAGTAATAAAAAAATAATTATACAGAAATGTCTTCTATTGTCAATCATTTAATAATTGTTGACTACTTAAAGATCAAAACAGCACAAATAAATAGTAAAATAATAAGAATCCAATACACGTCATAAAAAGCAACATCCACAAGTAACTGGTTATTGTTTAGAAGGGATGAACTGGTCAACCCATATAACGTCATTTTCGTGCGCCTGTGTATAAAAATAAAAAAATGTATGATTATGAAATACCTTGTACATTAAGGATAAAATAAAACAAAATCGATGAGAGATACACCACTCCCATAGGACATCAGTAGAACCACTGACCATAATTTCTTTCAGCTTTTGCCATAAACAACTGCATCTTGCCCCGTCCACATGCACAATTTGGACATTCGAAGATTCTTGACTTGCAAGAATTACATTACATGTAACTAAAAAAATAAAAAATTATTGACTTGCAATAAAGTATAATATGAAATTACACACTTAAAACCAACCAAATATAACAAAGTTGCAATTCATTAATCATTGTACTTAAAACAAACAAAAGATATCTCATTAAAGACTTAAAACCAACCAAATTATCAAAAACATGTTATATCTTAGGCTATCTTATTGAATCAGCTAATGGATTTGCGATTTCTCTTCGAAGATTTGTCATCTCCGATACGTTATCAACATTCACGGCACCATTGACTGGTTGAGCTTCATCCACTGGATCTTCTTCTATCTCGATTTTTATGTTCCCATATTCGTTAAAAAGGTCATCAGCAATGCTATCTCTTTTGATTTCGTCTCAAATAAATTTGTTAATCACACAAACAACTACCCTTCAAAATGTGGAATCTTGCTTTTAATACACCAAAACAACGCTCTATGCTGTTGTGCAAGCTTGTTGAACTCCTCCTTCACACCCTTTGGACGTCTTTGCCTTCTAATGTCAGACAAATGGTATCTCTCTCCTCAAAATGGCACAAAAAGGCCAATTTGATTTGGAAACCCCAAATCGGCAAGGTAATACTTTCCTGTTATACCAAAGCATAAATTTTAGTATTTAACTTTGTTGGAAATGTGAAATTAGCAAGAAATTACCTTGAAGTGGTAACTCCCTCCAACTTTGGTCTTGCATCCCTTTGATTGCCCTCATATACATTTTCTTGTTTAAGCCCTACATACTCCTAAGGACTTCTTGACATTTGCTGATGGAGAAATCATTTTCATTGCATGCACCCATTGCAACGATAGAATTTTGCTTAATGTAGTTTGTGAATGTCTGACAAGATTCACCTATGAGCTTATTTGTTATCCCTTTCATCCGCTTTCTGTCTTTTGGTGTGACAATGTCCTTAGGATCCATGTTCGAACCTTATGCATCCTTCTCTGTAGCTTCCTGCATTCTAGACAAATCTTGTGTCGAATCATTTATGAAGTCATTGAGAAGCTCTCAGCTCTCATTGTCCGTTTGGCCACATCATAGTGCTTTTCCTTTCTCTTGATTTTGATTTGAAATCACTTCCTTCCTTTTTTGACTTAATGCCATTTGTTTGTAAGTCATTAGAACAAAAAAGACTACCAATAACTTGAGCTTCAAATTAAAATTAGAGAAAGCATGTTGCTTCTTCGTAGAGCCTAAATAAGAGTAGGTGTTGAATCTTGGGTATTTTATAACTTGAGCTTCAAATCATAGTAGACATTCACAATGGAATTTCAATCAAAATTTCAGCACTGCTCTATTTTTGGTCATAATCTAACACAGAAGATGGATTTCTCTTTGTTTTAGCACTATTAATCTCTAAGTACCACTCCAATTTCTGTTATTATACTAATAATGTAATTACAGCATTACCCATAAGACAAAAGGCCCTATATCTAACGCTACAATTAATAGAGAAATAAAAGCAAAGAGACCAAACTAACCCTACAACCAGCTTTATCAGTTCTCAAAACTCTCTAATAAAAATGTGTAAATTAATTCCACCCTCTAAAATGATTAACCCCATCCATGAATTCTTTCCCTGCTTACAGGCCTGAATAAATCCATGTCAACAGATCATAGGCAACAATACAACTGAACCATCCCAAATCTCAAATGAGTTCATTAAAGGCAACATCTTCAAAGTACCTCCAATGCAAGCATGCAATATAGGTTTTAACGAAATGCAAAGAAAAAAAAACAATGGTGATGTGGTTTTTAACTCAAACCAACACAGTTTCAAATCACTAAGAACACGTACGTAGAGCTGGTATATGACTATGAGAACTGATGAATACTTAATAACATGAACATTATTTAAACATGAAGAAACGATCGCAATATGTGATGGGTTCTTACCTGTGCGGCGGAAAAACCTAAAGGAACGATTACAAGAAAAACCTAGGTGAATTGGTCGAAGCCCTGCGAGAGAAAGCTTGGGGATCTATGGTGGTAGGAAGAAGGAAGAAACCCCACTTAGTTTCGACTAGGGCTTTCTTATGTCCAAATCTACAAAATTATGAATTTGTCCTAGCTAGAACGTGGGAAACTAGCACATGTGTTCTCAAATTTAAGAAGAAGATATGGGAATCAAGGTTCAAAGTATCAACACGTATCAGCCTGTATTGGCCGATGCCTATCGTTTTGGGAACTCCCCGATGTATCGGGGTTCTGACCGGTTCAGGTGGTGGAGGATCCTTAAACCGCCCCTTGAACCGATTTTGAAAAAAAAAGTAAAAACCACTCGTTATTTCCAGATATGACCCAACTACCGGCGTATCGATATTTAGAACCTTGGTGGGAGCCACATGTTCTCCAAAAAAAGGGGTTTTTATATTTCAGTCCACCCCTAGGGTGGAGCTAAGATTTCTAGGGTGGACTAAATCCTGCCCGTGGATTGATGCCAAATTCACAGACAGGATGCGGTTTATAGGGGGGCTACTAGTAGATTAGGAGGGGGCTACAATTAAGATTTTTGAGGTGGATTGCAGTCCACTTGCTCAGAATGTGCCATTCCCACTCCAAAAGCACCCGTTCCCACTTAAAATGTGATGACAAACGTGTTTCCATTCCGCGGGAATGTCGGGAGCGCGAGGTAGATTCCTGTGGAATGATGCCAAACGGGACCCAACTATTTCCTAGGCACAACCAATTGACTTACATGAGGGAATGCCTTCCAATTATCCCCATTGAAAATGGACCTATACATGGCTAGGCCAAGTTTGGGTTGGACATTTTATTAACACAAAATGACCAATCTTGAGTCCAAACCTGACCCTTTTATAAAGCTCAAAACTTGATTTGGACAAATATATTATACTATATCAATTATATATTATTAAAAATATG